ATTTGTATCTGTATTGTATATACATGTATATAGCAATAAAATATGATTAAACTAAACTAAACTGTTGTTGTTGTTGTTGTTGTTGTTGTTGTTGTTGTTGTTGTTGTTGTTGTTGTTATTATTATTATTATTATTATTATTATTATTATTATTATTATTATTATCATTTTTATTATTATCAAAAATAGTCTTAGAAACATTTACAACATATATTTGGATATGTTATTTCTTTCATCTATTGTATTTTTTATGCTTAATCGTAGATATATTTTCATGTTTTAGATATGGGCCATATTGAGAGATTGTTAAATAATGATATTTAAGGGGGTAAAAACACACACAAAAATCAACAAAACAGAAACATTAGTAAGACTGAGAGTTTTAGCCAATTGGTAGGTAGCTGGCATAAGCCATATAACATATTATTTGATGAAAGAAAATGTAGACTATGTAACATTCTACACGATGAATTCCAATACCTATTTGAATGTCCCCTGTACCAAGAAATTCGACAAATGCATATGAAAGAATTTTTGTAGGAGACCTAACATACTAAAACCGAAGTATTATTTGAATCTGAAAATGTTTGGATAGTAAAATGCTTATTTCATTTCATGATAAGTATTGTAAATAACGATTGTATTATAACTGTTAACTGATGTTTAAAAAAAGTTCACCATACATTGTACATTTAAGACAGGCGTGCATTAATTGTTAACTCACTGACGACATCAACATTGTTATAAAAATACATACGGTATTTCAAGCGCATAACCTTGAAACATTGTTTTGCTTAATTATGTTGATTGACTACATTGCATTTGTAAATTGTGTAATTTATATTGTGTTATTTGATTTTTTTTCATCGGAGTACATTTCCTGCTGTTGGTTGGATTTTTGTCTGACAACTATGTGTATTGTATTGTTCCTTGGTATTCCATAATGTTCATGTTTTATAAATTGCAAAATTTATCAATAAACGAATTAACATAAAAGCAAATCGTATTTTAATATTTCAATTTCTGTTGGATTTTCTATTAAGTTTCTATTTACAGAAAATGGGGTTACAAATTTAGGTCATATCAAAAGATAATAAAATAATGTCATTATATATAAATAATAATTGACTTTTTACTTCTGTTTACACGGGTGCTAGAAGAACCTATCTTACACCCCCATTTAGGATAATTCGTGTACTTAAAAGACGTCGATACCGCCCACCTTTTATGAATGAATTGCGTTCATAGGTTGACGTCATTTTACCGTTATTAATGAAGTTTGTAAGTTCATACGCTACTATTAGAAAAAATGCGTAATGAAAATTTCAGTTTTCATAGTGTCTGTTCCAAAAAAAAAAGACATGTTATATACAAGAAAAAGAAGCAAACAGTGTGTGTCGGGGAAGATTGGAATATTAAGCTCTCGGGTAACTGTTTAGCGGAAACTTGACAAGGCCTCTCTATAGCTACACTCGAGCTAGATGTGCCTGTCTGTACTGGCAGTCAGTGTGAAAGTCTTCTAATATGTCAACAAGCTTCTATGTTATATATAGAATATACAAGTGGTACGATTAACCACTTCACTAGTGTAACAAATCTATCTGATAAAATATAGTAAAAGTTTGATCATATGTTTGATATCAGGTAATTATCAATTAGACTAATATGATTAACAAAATTCTTCTGAGTTCAAAACCCTTATTATACAAAATTAAAATTGATAGATCCCTACTCTGTCCCTTTATTATTCAGTTTCAGTTTACAATATACAATATACCATTGGCCATTTACAATATACAAAATTATTGCCAAGATAATACAATTTACATTTAACATAAATACAATAATACAATACAGTTATTACACAAGAACCTAAGAAGCAGCAATAATTGCAAGTCTTTCATTTTTCAAATGCATAGCATAAACACATATTTGGCAGTATTCCTAATAGTTCTGTTAATATTAGAAGACAATAATCTAGTAAAATAATTAATGCACGGAAAAGAATATTTAACATTATATATTTCTTCGACGGCAGCATAACAAAAAAAATGATATTCAGATTCAACATTAAGTGAACAAAGTTATACAAATTTGCAATCTACCAATTTCGATTTCAAAAAGGTGGGAACAGAGTCTAAAACGAGACAATTCTTTTCTTTAACAATAATACTTTTCATATTGAAACTCACATTTGAATTTTCTATAATAGTACAACATAGATTGATTTATTATTGTATCATTCTATGTTTGTACGTAGTTATCCCGCTGTATTTGTTTTTACATTGGCATATAATTCATATCAATGTTTAGAGAATCCCATAAGTAGCTTTATCCAAGACTATCAAGTTGTTTTTTAACAGACGATGACCAAGTAGACATGGTATACATGGTATAATTATATAACAAAGCACATTGTTCTAGAAATATTGTATGTTCTAATGATCCTGGATATTTCATTATATTAAACCAGTATTTCAGAGCACGTTCTTTACATATCGCAGATAAAGGGAGGCGACCAAGCGAATCAACATTTGAAGTCTGAGGACGAACACCAAGGACGATTTTACAAACACCGCAATGCAATTTCTCGATTTCTTTGCATTTACATTTCTCAGACTTCAGATCCATACAATAGTATTGGAACAACGAGAGAGTCAAATAGGGACAATTGTATGTATTCTGTGTATAATGATTATCCATCCGCAGAGAGGCACAAAAAAGCAGCTTTCATTGTCGAGTACGGACCCCGGAAATGTCACCAATTATGCCGTAAACGATTCATTTTGAAACACCGAGTGATGATAATTTATCTCCATGCAATTTCCACGAATTATTCGCCCAATATAGGAATTTTGAGCCAATAGTAGGTCGGTCAATGTAAACATTAATGTACAGTTACCTGACACAATTTGAAAATGGTAAACCTGAAAAGGAATGTTGGTTCCAAGCAAAGGCCCATTTTGCATGCTGTTATTCTCTAGTGCTGGTAAATAAAGATGAGGTATATTAAATGCTAGTAAAGATTGCAATGGACTGCTTTGTGTTATAGAGATGCCGGTCACTCATGGGCAAAAGTTTCAGTAATGCTGGTTCATATTGTCCTTGGAAAGAAAGAGAATAAGTAATTAATAGTCTCAGGTCGTAAATAACCTATTATAAAGTGATCGTAAAACATTAAATAATATAACACTAATTTTAACACGACCCGCATTTTTTCCCTATTGAACATAGAAGAACCGAAAGTGTGTGTTATTATGCTATGAAATCACTGTTTGACGTTCTATATTTAGATATGTGACGTAATCGTTAAACACGTGACGTAACCACTAAAAATGTGACGCGCTGACAATGAGTACGGAAACAAATCAGGCGCAATTTTGCTAATTATCATGTACGGCATCATTTATTTGTTGATGTCGTGTTAGAATCGAAATAATATATCCAAATCGGAGATTTAATAAGATAACATCACTGTTTGTCGTTCGGATGCGCATCATTATATATCACTCGGGTTACGCCCTCGTGATATAATTCCCCGCATCTGAACTCCAAACAGTTATTGAGCAATAAAATCACAGTTTGGGATATATTATTTCTTAATTTCCATATGCATTTTAATAAGTTAAACCTAAAGGCCGTTTCTGTATATTGAATCAAAACACTTTTGAAGATCAATTAAACAACAGAAGCGATTATCGCATGAATAAGAAAATACAATCAGCAGTAATAATAATAGTACATTTTATAATAATAATAATTAGAACAAAAACAACAACAACAACTACAACAATAATATTATTATTATTATTGTTGTTGTTGTTGTTAAAGCGACATTACGGATATTTTTGAAATCATTGTCAAGTTGAGCTATATCTATACTATACTATTAAAACGTTCGGGAATAACGTCACTTCATTCGTTTATAAATAAATAAATAAATAAATAAATAAATAAATAAATGAATAAATAAATAAATGAATGAATGAATGAATGAATGAATGAATGAATGAATGAATGAATAAATAAATAAATAAATAAATAAATAAATAAATAAATAAATAAATAAATAAATAAATAAAGTTAATAAGTAAGTAAGTAAAAATAAATAAATAAATTGTAATGATATAAACAATAAGTGTCACAATATTATAAACTTATTAATAGATCCCTACTCTGGCATTTCATCTTAATTGATAGCATTTATTTGAAGGAGAAACAAAAGATTTAATCATTAACATTGACATGTATTCTTTTGTTAACAAAAATGTGGTGATGAAATTCTTATTGTTTGCACTTACTTGATAATTTGATTGAGACAGGTAAGAAAGAACGTGTCGAACTTTAATGAGTAGAATACCTCCAAGTGTCAAGATTTAACAAATTAATGTAATTAGATATATCCGGTAAGCAATTTTACATTTCCTTTTGCTTCAGTATTTCCGTGTTCTATAAAAACGCCAATTTCTAAATATTTGATCATTACTTTAAAAATAAGTTGCAAGATACATGATATGATACATGATAAGAGCGTTACACCTAAATTCGGAACTTAACAGAACAAGGGTAAATATATATCATGATTGCTTTATGGTTAAGAATTAACGTTAAATTGACCACTGTATCCGGATTTATATGTCATTAATAATTCTTTTCTATACATTTATATAATTATACATGTTTCTTCACTTGACTGTGTATACTCCTTTGTACATTTTTGGAATGAAGTATACGTATTTTGTTGGGAACTTCATTAGTAAAATAAGTATATTTCAAAATATGGAGTAGTTTTGACATTTAAGTTCCAATAATTGAAAGCTTAGACCATACGTAAAGTTACATAAATAGCGGATGAAAAATTATTTGTTTATCTTATAGGATTCAAGAACTGTATTGTCAAACAGAAACATGAGCAGGAGTACAGAACAAAGGCAGTTATTGAAATGTGATATCTGCGAATATAAAACTGTAAACAGAAGCCATTTAATAAGGCACACAAAAATGCATACTGATGGTAAAAAGATTCAATGCGATATTTGTAATAGACTGTTCTTATATAACAGTGATCTTAAAACGCATATGGCAATACACACAGGAGAGAAGCATTATAAATGCGAAACATGTGACAAAACCTTTGCAAATAAAAGTAATCTTTTGACTCATATGGTTGTGCACACAGGAGAGAAGAATTTTAAATGTGAAATATGTGACAAAGCATTTGGTCAGAAGACCAATCTAAAAGCACATATGGTTGTGCACACAGGAGAGAAGAATTACAAATGCAAAATATGTGACAAAGCATTTGGTCAGAATACCAATCTGAAAACACATATGACAGTGCACACAGGAGAGAGGAATTTTAAATGTGAAATATGTGACAAAAACTTTCCTTATATTAGCACTCTAAAAGATCATATGAGAGTGCACACAGGAGAGAAGAAATTTAATTGTGAAATATGTGACAAAGCATTTGGTCGCAATAGCCACCTGAAAACACATATGACAGTGCACACAGGAGAGAGGAATTATAAATGTGAAATATGTCACAAAGCATTTGGTCGCAATAGCCACCTGAAAACACATATGATAGTGCACACAGGAGAGATGAATTATAAATGTGAAATATGTGAAAAAAACTTTCTTTATGTTAACACTCTAAAATCTCATATGACAGTGCACACGGGAGAGAACAATTATAACTGTGAAATATGTGACAAAGGCTTTCTTTATATTAGCACTCTTAAAAATCATATGAGAGTGCACACAGGAGAGAAGAATTTTAAATGTGAAATATGTGACAAAGCATTTGCTCACAATACCCAACTGAAAACACATATGATAGTGCACACAGGAGAAAACAGTTATAAATGTGAAATATGTGACAAAGCCTTTCCTTATATTAGCACTCTAAAAGATCATATGAGAGTGCACACAGGAGAGAAGAAATTTAAATGTGAAATATGTGACAAAGCATTTGGTCGCAATACGCATCTAAAAAGACATATGACAGTGCACACAGCAGAAAAAAATTATAAATGCAAAATATGTGACAAAGCGTTTGCTCACAATACCCAACTGAAAACACATATGATAGTGCACACAGGAGAGAACAGTTATAAATGCGAACTATGTGACAAAGCATTTGGTCGCAAAACCAATCTGAAAACACATATGACAGTGCACACCGGAGAGAAGAATTTTAAATGTGAAATATGTGACAAAGCTTTTCCTTATATTAGCACTCTAAAAGATCATATGAGAGTGCACACAGGAGAGAAGAATTTTAAATGTGAAATATGTGACAAAGCATTTGGTCGCAAAAATCATCTGAAAACACATATGACAGTGCACACAGGAGAGAAAAATTATGAATGCAAAATATGTGACAAAGCATTTGCTCACAATACCCAACTGAAAACACATATGATAGTGCACACAGGAGAAAACAGTTATAAATGTGAAATATGTGACAAAGCCTTTCCTTATATTAGCACTCTAAAATATCATATGAGAGTGCACACAGGAGAGAAGAAATTTAACTGTGAAATATGTGACAAAGCATTTGGTCGCAATACGCATCTAAAAAGACATATGACAGTGCACACAGGAGAAAGATTATAAATGCAAAATATGTGACAAAGCATTTGCTCACAATACCCAACTGAAAACACATATGATAGTGCACACTGGAGAGAACAGTTATAATTGCAAAATAGTGACAAAGCCTTTCCTTATATTAGCACTCTAAAAGATCATATGAGAGTGCACACAGGAGAGAAGAATTTTTAATGTGTAATGTGTGACAAAGCATTTGCTTGTAAAAGTAAACTTGTACATCCAATGGTTGTACAACAGCAGAGAAGAATTTTAAATGTGCAATATATGATAAAGCATTTGGTCGTAATTCCCAAATTAAAGCACATATGACAGTGCACACAGGAGAGAGGAAATATAAATGTGAAATATGTGACAAAGCCTTTTATCAAAACAACAAAAAACTCATATGATAGTACATTCAGGAGACAAGAATTACAAATGCGAAATATGTGACAAAGCATTCGCTCATAGAAATAATCTAAGAATGCATATGGTTGTGCACACAGGAGAGAAAAATTATAAATGTGAAATATGTGACAAAGCATTTGCTCATAAGAGATATCTAAAAGTTCATGTAGTAGTACACACAGGGGCAAAAAATTATAAATGCGAAATATGTGAAAAAGCATTTGCTTATAGAAGAAATCTTATACAAAATATAGATGTACACACAGGAGAGAAAAAGTTTAAATGCGAAATATTTGACAAAGCATTTACTGATAAAGTTAGTCTTAAAAATCATATGACAGTGCACACTCGAGAGAAGAATTAAATTTGTAAATTATTTGATAAAGATCTTTTTAATATGGACTTCTTGAAACTGATGTGATACTGCTCACAGGAGTGAAGAATTATCAATATGAAATATATGACGAAGCATTTTCTCATATTGGTAACCATAATTGGTTTGTATTATTTCTGTTTACTGAAGGGCAAACTGCCTTTGTATCAATAAAGTTTACCATATATTTAAAACAAGCGTTCGCTGACGATATTAACATTATTATAAAAGTACACACAGTAATATGAGCGCAAAAGTTGGGAACATTCTTTTGCTAAATAATGTTGAATAAATTCATTGCATTGTGTAATTCATATTTTGTCTTTTTTTCCTGAAGGTTAGAGTTTTTTTATTGAAAACTATGAGTATTGTATCGTCCCTTGATATTACATAATTGCCATGTTTTTTAAATTGCAAAATTTGATAATAAACGAATTTACATTTAAGCAATTTGTATCTTCATCCATTTATTTCTGTTGGATTTTATCAACAAGTTTCTATTTACAGAAAATCGGTCATATCTAACAACAAGTTTCTCAGGGGCGGATACAGAACATGGTTTCCTGGGGGGGGGCTGACATATGGGTGGAATATTTTGACAAAAATAATGCAACAGGCGAAACTTGTGCATGTTTGAAGATAGGGCCAATACCTTGTTCATGTGACATAGATTGTAATTTATGTGTTTTATAGCTTATCACATGAGTGGCAATGCACTTTTGCTTATATATATGTATACTAATATTTTCGTAAATATTTTTTTTTATATATTTTTATGATATGAAATCAAGAAAAATATCTGTAATTGGGGTGGGCCTGGTAGGGGTGTCCCCTCCCATAAACTGAGAAAAAATTTGAAATATGAGGTTAAAATAGTGTTATTTCCTTGACTTTCTAGTGCTGTTTATGATAAATTGTGGATGGTTTTACAGGTTAGTAGTTTACAAGGTATTTCAAAAAGAATTCCCCTGGTGTTTAGTATTAAGCATTTACAAAATAGCAGCACACTAACCAATGTTTGCGCGACTGTTAATAAAAATATTTTTTAAACACTTGATCAATGTACTCATCTGAATAATAGAAGATTTTCCAAAGTAAAGTGATATTATTAAAGTACTGCCTTTCAATTGTAAAAAAAAAATGATTTCAAACACATATATTCAATAAGAATTTTTTCAATCAATGAGTCCATTTTAGATACTAAAAAGGTCAGTACAATTTAAATTTAATTTTAAAAAATATAACTGCAATAAAAAAGTTATTAAAAGCATATGACCAATCAATTCATCTGATTAAAATTCTTAGAAAAACTAGTTATTATTTAATACGCTATTCATATAGTATAATCTTTATAAAACTGGTCACCTTTTTAATTTACAAATAATAATTTTCAATTTCTTAATCATAGGGCTTTCGGAAAGAAAAATGAAAAACAAAGCTGGTAAAATATGGTGTGCAATGTAACACATCTATTTGCCACTATCTGTGACTATTAATTTCATTAGACCTTTAGAAAGTAATAAAACCAATCAATTATGCAGTTTAAACATTGAAGTCATTCAAGGATGTTGATAGATAAAGACAGCAATTAATGTTTTGATAAGGGAGTTCACTACAAGCAATAGAGTTTGAAACTGACAAAAATATTTTAAAGCCCGGCTGGTAAACGTATCTTTGGGCCAAGCTGGGAGGGCTGCAGCCCTGAAGCCCGGGCCTGAATCCGCCACTGTAAATTCTATTAACAGACAAGTAGGTAAAAAATTTAGGGCATATCCAAAGATAATAAAATAATGTCATTATATATAAATAATAATTGACATTTTATTTATGTTTACACCGGTGATAGAAAAACCTATCTTACACCCTCATTAAGCAATCGCAACTACTCGGCCCTTTCCGTCAGTCTTCGGATAAGGACCTCGAACACAATAGTATGAATACACAGAACGGATGCGGTATTTCGGTGTTACCTATGCTAAGAAACTAAACATGTAAACATCCGTTCTGTTTATTCATACTATTGTGTTCGAGGTCCTTATCCAAAGACTTACGGAAAGGGCCGAGTAGTTGCGATTGAATGACCAGGTATAATTATGTCTAGATTTTCTCTTTTCAAAATCCCATATTATAGTTTTATTTACACTAATTTCAAACCCCTTTTTTGTGAAAACTCATGCTTATGCTCTTCAAATATTGAAGGAAATAAAAGAATAAAATAACATGTACATAGACAATAAATTTATATCATCATTAGAAAGCTGTGAGAAATCAATGCATGAAGATTTATGTAATAGTAAGAGAATCGTAACACGAGGCTATCTGATTTGTACGAGGGGGCGTAGCCCACGTGTATAAATCAGATTGCCGAGTGTTCTGATGTTCCTTCTCTTTTGTATCATAGTCAAACATAAAAACACTTTCCCTGTAGTCACAATATGAAACCCAGAAAAAAGTTATCAATGAGCGAGCATTAGAATATGGTGTTCCTTTCTCTGGCACATTTTCAACAGATATGTCCAAAAACTATGATACAAAATAATAAAAAGAAGGGACGGGAGTGCTTCTTCTTTTTTTCGCTTCTTCTTTTTTTCTTCTTCTTCTTCTCTTGCTTATTCTTCTTCTTCTTCTTCTTCTTCTTATTATTATTATTTATATCATTATTATTATCATCATCATTTTTGTTGTTATTGTTGTTGTTAAAGCTACATTACGGATATTTTTGAAGTCATTGTGATGATGAGCTATATCTACTATACTATTAAAACGATCGGGTAATGTCAATTCATTCGTTTATAAATAAATAAATAAATAAAAAAATAAATAAATAAATAAATAAATAAATAAATAAATAAATAAATAAATTATAATGATATTTACTATAAGTGTCACTAAATCCTATTAATAGATCTCTACTTTGGCCTTTCATTTTAATTGATAACATTTATTTGAAGAAAAAAAAATAGATTTAATCATTTACATTGACATGTACTCTTTGGTTAACAAAAAGGTGGTGAAGAAATTCTTATTGTTGGCACGTACTTGATGATTTGATTTAGACAGGTAAGTAGGAACAAGTCGAGCTTATGAATAGAATACTTCCATGTGTCAAAATAAAGTAACAGGATTTAACAAATTAAAGTAATTATTTATATCCGGTATTCAATTTCACATGTCCTTTTGTTTCTGAAAATGCGTGTTCTATAAAAACGCCAATTTCTAAATATTTGATCAATATCGACAACCGGTGGCGAGTATAAATAAACTCATATACACAATACGAGTATTTGATCATTACATTAAAAAAGTTGCATGATACATGGTATGATACATGATAAGAACGTCATACCTAATCTGTCTATAAAAACAACAAGAAGAAAATAAATTCAACTGGGAACTTAACAGAACAAGCTTAGTGTAAATATGTGTCATAATTGCTTTATGATTAAGATTAAACGTTAAACTGTATCCGGATTTTATGTCATTAATAATTCTTATGTAAATATGTATATTTTACTCATTTTTTTCTTCTTTTATTTGGGAAAAAATTATTCTTAATTAATAATATTTCTTCACTTAACTTTGTATACTCATGTGTCCTTTCTTGGAATTAAGTATAATTTTTACGGATCTAATAGAACAATGCTCTGAGTATCCTTTAAATGAAGTCGGAACTTCATTAATATAAAGCATCATTCGAAATATGGAGCTAGTTTTGATATTTAACTTCCAATAATTGAAAGCTGTGACCATACTTAGAGTTACATAAATAGTGGATTAAAATTTATTTGTTTATCTTATAGAATCAAGTACTGTATTGTCAAAAAAAAAAAACATGAGGGGGAGTACAGAACAAAAGCAGTTATTAAAATGTGATATCTGCGAATACAAAACTGTAAACTGAAGCCATTTAATAAGGCACACAAAAATGCATACTGACGGTAAAACAATTCAATGCGATATTTGTTATCAACTGTTCTTGTATAACAGTTTTCTTAAAACGCATATGGCAATACACACAGGGGAGAAGCATTATAAATGCGAAACATGTGACAAAACATTTGCAAATCAAAGTAATCTTTTGACTCATATGGTTGTGCACACAAGAGAATGGAATTTTAAATGTGAAATATGTGACAAAACGTTTCCTTATATTAGCACTCTAAAAGATAGTGGGTCCTTTGTACTTCACAATCAATATCTTATAGGTAAAGCTTTGAAAGCAATGAATGTTTTAATATGTAATATTAACAAGTATGAAATATCCCCTTCTGTTTCCTTACAATTATTTGATGCTTTTGTCGGCTCTATCATAAATTATGCTTGTCCAGTCTGGGGATTTACAAAATCTAAAGATATAGAGAGATTACACTTGAAATTTTGCAAGTTAATTCTTGGTGTGAAAATAAGCTCCTGTAATGCAGCAATTTATGGTGAGCTAGGAAGATACCCACTTTATGTTAATAGATATGTTCACATAATAAAATATTGGTTTAAAGTGATACATTCAAGCAATATCATTGTTAAATGTGTGTATATAAATACATTAAATCAGTGTAAAAAAGGAGTAAAAAACTGGGCATATAAAGTAAAAGGAATTTTAGATGAATTTGGTTTTTCTGAGGTGTGGAATTGTCCTGAACTTTATAATCCAAAAGAATTTGTTAATATTTTTAAACAAAGAGTCATTGATGTTTTTAAACAAAAATGGTTTTCAGATATTGTTAATAATAACGTTTTAAATACATTGTATAGATATATCAAGGATAATTTTTCTATGGAATGCTATTTAGATAAAATTAAGTGTATGAAATCAAGACAACAATTAACCCGTCTCAGAATATCTGCGCATAATTTAAGAATAGAATCTGGTAGATATGGTAGAAACAGACTTGAAAGACATGAGCGCATATGTCAACTTTGTAATACACAAGATATTGAAGACGAATTTCATTTTATACTTGTTTGTAATTTGTACCAGGAAATACGCACTAAATTCATTAAAAGATATTATTATAAAAAACCTAGCATGTTTAAATTCATAGAATTACTTCAGTCATGTGAAAAGTCTATATTATTAAATTTATGTAAATTTATTTATTTTGCAAATAGTAAAAGAAAAGAAAAGTTGATAAGCTTAGGTTATACATAAATGTTGTTATTATTTTCATAGATATTGTAAACGTTTAGATTTCGCTAGTAATTTTTATATTAAAATGAAATTATTCTGATATTAAAAATGAGATTATTCTGATATACATTTATTTTATACAAAATCAATTTTTTTTCGCAGCAATATATGTTCATTCTCCAATATACTGTAAATCTTTGAATTATATCATGTGTTTATCTATTTATAATATTTGATATATGTAATGTAACAAGATACTGTATTGTATACGTTACGAAATAAAATTTCTGTTCTGTTCTGTTCTTAAATAAAGTGAGCATTTAACTTCCAATAATTGAAAGCTGACACCTACATAGTTACATAAATAGTGGATTAAAATTTATTTGTTTATCTTATAGGATTCAAGAACTGTATTGTCAAAAAGAAACATGAGGGGGAGTACAGAACAAAAGCAGTTATTAAAATGTGATATCTGCGAATACAAAACTGTAAACAGAAGCCATTTAATGAGGCACACGAAAATGCATACTGACGGTAAAACAATTCAATGCGATATTTGTTATCAACTGTTCTTATATAACAGTTTTCTTAAGACGCATATGGCGATACACACAGGGGAGAAGCATTATAAATGCGAAACATGTGACAAAACATTTGCAAATCAAAGTAATCTTTTGACTCATATGGTTGTGCACACAAGAGAGAAGAATTTTAAATGTGAACTATGTGACAAAGCATTTGAATGCAATACGCATCTAAAAACACATATGACAGTGCACACAGGAGAGAAGAATTTTAAATGTGAAATATGTGACAAACCATTTGGTCGCAATGGCCACCTGAAAACACATATGACAGTGCACACAGGAGACAAGAATTTTAAATGTGAAATATGTGACAAAGCATTTGGTTGCAATAGCAACCTGAAAACACATATGAGAGTGCACACAGGAGAGAGGAATTTTAAATGTGACATATGTGACAAAACGTTTCCTTATATTAGCACTCTAAAAGATCATATGAGACTGCACACAGGAGAGAAGAAATTTAAATGTGAAATATGTGACAAAGCATTTGGTCGCAATGCCAACCTGAAAACACATATGACAGTGCACACAGGAGAGAGGAATTTTAAATGTGAAATATGTGACAAAACGTTTCCTTATATTAGCACTCTAAAAGATCATATGAGACTGCACACAGGAGAGAAGAAATTTAAATGTGAAATATGTGACAAAGCATTTGGTCGCAATGATCATCTGAAAACACATATGACAGTGCACACAGGAGAGAAGAATCATAAATGTGAAATATGTGACAAAGAATTTACTTCAAAATCTTATCTTCAAATTCATTTAGAAGTACATTCAGGAGAGAAGAATTACAAATGCGAAATATGTGACAAAGCATTCGCTCATAGAAAAAATCTAAGAATGCATATGGTTGTTCACACAGGAGAGAAAAAATATAAATGTGAAATATGTGACAAAGCATTTGCTCATAAGAGTAATCTTAAAGTTCATGTAGTAGTACACACAGGAGCAAAAAATTATAAATGTGAAATATGTGAAAAAGAATTTGCTGTTAAAGTTAGTCTTAAAAATCATATGACAGTGCACACAGGAGAGAGGAATTTTAAATGTGAAATATGTGACAAAACGTTTCCTTATATTAGCACTCTAAAGGATCATATGAGTGTGCACACAGGAGAGAAGAAATTTAAATGTGAAATATGTGACAAAGCATTTGGTCGCAATGCCCACCTGAAAACACATATGTGGGTGCACACAGGAGAGAGGAATTTTAAATGTGAAATATGTGACAAAACCTTTCCTTATATTAGCTCTCTTAAAGATCATATGACAGTGCACACAGGAGAGAAGAAATTTAAATGTGAAATATGTGAGAAACCATTTGGTCGCAATGGTTATCTGAAAAAACATATGACAGTGCACACAGGAGAGAAGAATCATAAATGTGAAATATGTGACAAAGAATTTACTTCAAAATCTTATCTTCAAATTCATTTAGAAGTACATTCAGGAGAGAAGAATTACAAATGCGAAATATGTGACAAAGCATTCGGTCGCAGAAATAATCTAAGAATGCATATGGTTGTGCACACAGGAGAGAAAAATTATAAATGTGAAATATGTGACAAAGCATTTGCTCGTAAGTGTAATCTAAAAGTTCATGTAGTAGTACACACAGGAGCAAAACATTATAAATGTGAAATATGTGAAAAAGCATTTGCTGTTAAAGTTAGTCTCAAAAATCATATGACAGTGCACACTCGAGAGAAGAATAAAATTTGTAAATTATTTGATAAAGATCTTTTTCAATATGGATTTCATAAAACTGATATAATAGTGCTCACAGGAGTGAAAAATTATCAATATGAAACATATGACAAAGCATTTTCTCATATTGGTAACCATAATTGGTTTGTATTATTATTGTTTACTGAAGGGCAAACTGCCTTTGTATCAATAAAGTTTTCCATATATTTAAGACAAGCGTTCGCTGACGACATTAACATTATTATAAAAGTACACACAGTAATATGAGCGCACAAGCTGGGAATATTCTTTTACTTAATAATCATTAATGTTGAATGAATTCATTGCATTGTGTAATTTATATTTTGTCTTTTTTTCCCTGAAGGTTGGAGTTTTTTGTTTGAAAACTATGAGTATTGTATCGTCCCTTGATATTACATAATTGCCATGTTTTTTAAATTGCAAAATTTGATAATAAACGAATAAACATTAAAGCAAATTGTATCTTCGACATTTATTTTTGTTGGATTTTATCAACAAGTTTCTATTTACAGAAAATCGGGTTACAAATCTAGGTCATATCCAAAGATAATAAGATAATTTCATTATTTATACATGTATTTTTATATATCGATTACAATAGTTTTAAAATATTTCAACAGCCTTACATAATGTTTCAAAGGCGAAATCTTAAAATTAATATCAAAGTCAATCATTTGAATAAACGAATAAACATTAAAGCAAATTGTATGTATCAATCATTTGAATATGACAATTTCAATATAATTAATGCCATTTTATTTATTTTCAATCTAGTAAAGAAAAAACATGCATAACCAATTAAATATATTCGCACGCTTATTATCCCTAACTGCATGATACTAAACATTATACTTGTGAGACGAAAGTAACGGTCGTATTTGCTTGCATGGGCAAGTTCTGTACTTAATATTGTATTCACCTTTTGTACTCTTTAATTTTCTACCAAATTATTGCCAATTTAATTGCGAATAAATCCAGTCCAAAAGAGACTATATTATGTTTAACAGGACAAGCAAGAGATGTCAGTAGCAATGCGTGCTAGACTTTTCTCAGTGCTTGATAGTTAAAACAATTGACAAAGAAATTAGACAAATGCATATGACAAAAAAATGAGGAGACCTAATATACTTAATTAGATCGAAAAAAATATTTGAATAAAAAAACGTGAGTATATAAGATATTTAGCAATGTTTTAAAAAAAAGTTTCATAAAAATATAGTATTATGTATCAAAGATAACCATGTCCAATCACTTTTATCATGAATATTATATATTAGATCTTTTTTTTAAAATCAGAATAATGTAACATATCTGCTTCATGGCTCTCATGCTTATATCATAAAATTGATATTTATTGTAAATAACGATTGTATTGTTACTCTATACCGATGTGCAAACTGCCTTTGTATAAATACAAGTTCACTATATATTTAAGACAGGCGTGCATTAATTGTTAACTCGCTGACGGCATCAAAATTGTTATAAAAAATACATACGGTATTTTAAGCTCATAAGCTGTCAGTGGAAACATTTGTTTTGCTAAGTTATGCTGAATGACTACATTGCATTTGTAAATTGTGTAATTTAGATTGTGTTATTTGAATTTTTTTTAAACGGAGTACAATTGTCCGCTGTTGGTTGGAGTTTTTGTCTCAAAAACTGTGTGCATTGTACCGCTCCTTGATAACGAAGTCATTAAATATTCAAAATCTCCATTAGTTCAACCTCCTTGCTTTCTTGCTTCCATTTTCTTTATTGTTTTTACTATATGTATAATATTTTTCGCTAAAAATATAATTGTCTATAAATTTAGGTTGACAAGTTATATTGTATCATTGTATATATGTGTTGTGTAGCAAGAAACGTCACGTTTCCGTTACCAAATAAAATTATTTTGAATCTTGAATTTTGATATTCTATAATAATCATGTTTTATAAATTGCAAAATTTATTAATAAACGAATTAACATTTAAGCAATTTGTATCTTCATCCTGTCGTATGGTCCTTTTCAAATGTAGGAATGGTCTGTTTATGCCTGTAAGGACATAAACATACGCCTTGATAAATAAATAAATAAGATAAACAACAATTTCTGGCGCAAACCAATAGAAATATTTATATCAAAGTGCATAAATACAGTTCCGAAATACATAAACGATCAATGGAAATATGCATGATAATGAAACATAATGAATAACAACAATTACCTGTAAGGACATAAACATACGCCTTGATAAATAAATAAATAAGATAAACAACAATTTCTGGCGCAAACCAATAGAAATATTTTTATCAAAGTGCGCATGCGTGAGGTGGATTTTCCGGGAAGTTTGTAAAAACTGAGGCCCGGCATGCAAATTATGTCAAATGAAATATGAGAAATTAGTTGTTATAATGAGATGATGAAATGGAATGATATAGGAATGATATGGGATAATGGATTGTATATCGGACTGTAAACAGACAAATACAAGAGATATATATACAAATACAAGGACAAAATGATACATAAAAACGATATTCAAAAACACGAATATCGACCACATGACATACTTCCCCACTTTGGGGAATGTCGCCCCGACATTCATAAAATATTAAAGAGGAAGAGCCTGAATCAAACATTGCAAGAAGTAAGCTTAGACCATAAAGTAACTAAACTACTAGGTACTACATAACTAAAATCTAAATACTGAAGGCAATTACAACCTGTGAGTAAATATATAATACCCGGGCAAAATACCTTAAACTCAAGCATGTTCCACAAAAATACCGTATGCCGCGAATCGCGAAAAATATATGCCACGCGGAAACAAAATGTTATTTTATCAGTAGAACTGTGAATTCATTGAAGAGGTGCACTCTCAACAATAAATCCTTTATTTTTAAAGTACTGTAAAGTACATTTATAAATTATCAAGGTAAAATATATGGTACATGGTATAAAACATAAAACGAAACACATCAGGTACTGAACAACGCCTAACTTCAAAGTTGAAACACACCTAGACTATAAATCGAAAGAAAAAGCATTAATCTAATTTCCAGTTATCATTAAGCATCCATCCGGGTTTCTTTCTTGTACGTTTCTGCCTCTGTAAGTTGTTGTTGTTGTCCTTAGATGGATTTCTCAGTGCAGGAATGACATATTTTGAATCTGTAATAGAATGAGATGTTTTTATTTGGAACAGAATAAGAAGTTTGATTTGTTGACGTGGCATCTTGTTTGCTGTTGGATGTTCCTGTAAAAGAAGTTGACAAACCATTGTTAGAATCATGTATTGTGGAAGAATTGCTTTGTGAAACATTTGATGGACTTGATGTAAGTGAGGAATTGAAATCTAACGGAGCTGTAATGGAAACATCAGAGGAGGGATTGGAGAACGAGTTCTGATCCGAATGTAAGTCAGAGGAAGCTGGCTTGTATAAGGACTCAGTTGTTTCGCATAAATGCATAACCATAAAGGGAAGTAAAAGGTTCCTTTGCAATTTTCTGAGCCTTTCCTTGCTGTTTTTCCTTTTCACCTCATAGATGCTAATTACAGAGGCGTGTTGGCTGACAATTGTGAAGACATTCTTCTCTCATCTATCCGCAAGTTTGGATTTCCCTCTAACACCTACATTTCGGAGGTCATAATACTTTTTATGTTTCTTGCCTTGTTTCTTGGTCTCTCGGAGTGCAACGGAATATGCAAATTTTAGTCGGTTCTGGAGACCTGAGACGTAAGAATGGTCCTTGACAGGAGATTTGTCTGGTTCGATGCCAAGAAACGCATCGATGGCAAGCCTAGGGTGGCGACCAAACATGAGAAAGTGGGGAGAATAACCAGTAGAAGAATGGGGAGTAGAGTTATAGGCATGGACAAGAGCAGGAACATGAGACTTCCAATTGACCTTCTTGTCGTCTTCCAGGGTCCCCAACATATTCAAGAGGGTTTCGTTAAAGCGCTCAGGCATCCCATTTCCCTGTGGATGATACGGAGTAGTCCTGGTCTTGTCAATATTGGCCAACTTGCACAACTCCCGGATAACTTCACTTTCAAAATTTCGCCCTTGATCACTATGGAACCGACTAGGAAAACCATAGTGACAAACAAAATTTTCAAAGAGAAGTTTAGCGGTAGTATGTGCAGTTTGGTTTCTTGGCAGGGATAGCCTGAGCAAAACGAGTGAAGTGATCAGTAATGATCAAGATGTTTTCATAACCACCCCGAGACATCTCCAGAGAAAGAAAATCCATACAGACAATTTCCATTGGATAACTCGACTGAATAGGACTTAACTTAGCAGTCGTTTTATCCAATGACTTTCTCCGGATACATCTGGGGCAGTTTCGAACCCTGTGTTCGATATACTGTTCTAACTGAGGCCAAAAGAAACGTGAACGGAACAAGGAAATCGTTCTTGTACAACCTTGATGTCCTGCCTCATCATGCAAACCCTGGAAAGCTAAATCAAGCATATGCTCAGGGAGAACAAGCTGAGTAACAGGATAACCATTTGAAGCACCTTTACGATAAAGAATTGAATCCTTAAAGTAAAGGTTGCTCCATTCCTTCAGAAACGATCGAACCTTGGCCGTTTCGTGTGACTTTTGGCGTTCAGTTAACCTATGACCAATTTCAAAGAGTTGAACTAAACGGGAAAGTGTTGGATCATCTTGCTGCTCCTTCTTCCAATCAATAGACTTAAGGCTGCTTCCGACTTCAATCTCGTCTCTGGGATTAAGAGAAAGAACATTTTGATTAAAAGAAATACATTCAACAGCTGGAAGTTGACCTGGACCTTCAGATTGAGAAAACAAAAGAGCCTTGACAGCATCTGAAAGGAGAATGTTAGAATCAGGAAGAGAAAAAGCTGAAGGAATTCTAGAAAGGGTATCGGCGTCGATGTTCTCTTTACCAGCTCTGTACCGCAAGTTGATGTCATACGCAGACAAGGAGGATAACCACCTGTGACTGGTAGCATCAAGCTTAGCAGATGAAAACACATAGGTAAGTGGGTTATTGTCTGTTCTAACTTCCACAGAATTACCATAGAGATAATCATGGAACTTATCACAGACAGACCACTTAAGAGCCAAGAACTCTAGTTTGTGAGCAGGATAATGTCTTTCTCCCGCTCTCAAACCCCTACTGGCATAGGAAATAACATGCTCCTTACCATCAGCACCAACCTGGTAAAGAACCGCTCCCAAACCGCTAGTACTGGCATCAACATTAAGAATGAATGGCTTATTGTAGTCAGCAAAAGCTAAGACTGGAGGAGAAGAAAGTTTATCTATCAAAGCACAAAAGGCATTCTGCTGATCTGGACCCCAATTGAAAGGAACCTTAGATTTCTTAGAAGAACTTTTGCAGGTGGGAATACCAATAAGAAGGTCATTCAAAGGTTTGGCGATCTGTGCGTAGTCTTTAATGAACCTCCTGTAATAACCTGAAAAACCTAAAAAGCTACGCAACTCCTTAAGGCAAGTAGGTACAGGATATGTCTTGAGTGCTTCAATCTTCTCAGGATCTGTCTTCACACCATTAGCACTAACAATGTGACCCAAATACTGGACTTGCGGCTTAAAGAATTCACACTTGGACCCTTTAAGTTTAAGATTGTGCATCTCAAGACGTTGAAAGACAGACTGAAGGCGACGGAAATGAGAATCAATAGAATCAGAAAAGATGATAATGTCATCGAGATAAATCAAACAGTCACGAAGGTGAAGTTCGCCCATACAACGCTCCATCAGACGCTGAAACGTTGCAGGGGCATTGGTAAGACCAAAGGCCATTCTGTTGCACTCATAGAATCCGAGAGGCCCAACACTAAAGGCAGTCTTTTGCTTATCAGATTCTTTGACTGGGACCTGCCAGTAACCTGAGCGTAGGTCGAGTTTAGAGAAAATAGTGGAACCTATGAGAGAATCTATAGTTTCGTCGATGCGAGGAAGGGCATAAGCATCCTTGATTGTACGGTTGTTCAGTTTCCGGTAATCGATACAAAAACGCAAAGACCCGTCCTTCTTTCTTACTAACACAACATTAGAAGAAAAAGGACTCTTGGACTCACGGATCGCTCCTGCGGAAATCATGTCTCGTAAATGCTCACGTACCTCCTCAAACATCCTGGTGGTATTCGGCGATAAGGGTCTTTAAAGGGTGTGGGATCAGACAGATTGATTTCATGTTCGACCAAGTCAGTAGAACCAAGATCAGTAGGCCCAGAGGAGAAAATATGTTTCCACTGATTGAAGAAGGAAGTTGCCTTAACCTGCTGTTCAGAAGTTAAAGTTTCAGTGGGAATAGAAATACCAAGGTCATCAAAAAGACTTGTCTGAATTGTGGGATTTATCAGCAACGCCCTCTGAAGGATCAATGGTGCGAACAACAGACACATCATGTAAGTTACAAAGAGTCATTCTTGGATGAATGGTAATAGCTCTAGCAGTCAAGTTACAAAACACGTACTGGAACCCTGCAAAAAAGAAGTACCAGGTTGTAATTTAACCAATCTAGGGCACACATTCAACATAAAAGAATCAGTAGACTCTGTAACACCAGATGACATGTTGCCAATATTTGTCTCACCTTGCCCTCAAGTGTTGTTGTTTCAAAAGGCTTCACAATGACAGTCTGATGATGAAGAAGAGTAACAGGTTTGGTGACAATGTCAGACAAGGAAGATATGATGTCTGAAAGTGGAGATGATGTTGACTCTGTTCCTGATGACTTCAAAACATTCAGTATGTTGGTGCCTATTATCAAAGGAACTCTGCAGGAGTACTCTGTGTCTGGAACAATCAGAATAGGAGCTGAAAAAGATTGTGATGAAAGAGAAGGAAAAGAAATATCAAGAACTGAATATCCAAGATATGGTACCTTAGAACCATTAGCAGAAGAAATATCCAACATAAAATCTGACAACTGTGACATGACAGGCTGGGGCTTTAAAGATTTGTAGAATGAAATTCCAATAGATGAAATCATAGAACCAGTATCTATCAAAGCTATAGTAGAAGTACCATTTATAAGAATTTCAGATTCATTAGAAGAGCCAACTAGAGGAAATGTAGAAACAGGGTCATTAGAAGGGGAAGTATGACCTCTCATCTGCCCTGCGATGGAGGTCGACTGTAGTTTAAAGGACTGGCAGAGGCTTTGACATCCTGAGTGGAAGATCTCTCTTGTTTCAAGCCCTTGAGTTCCTTCTCCATACTAGACAGCCTGGACTCCATGCCTTCCATCTGCTTAGAAAGGGCCCTTATTTCCTGGAGAAGTCTACTATCTACAGTAGTGACACACTGCTGTGCAGGAACAGACTCATTAGAAGTAGTAACAGAAATATTGGCCTGAGGGGTTGCCTGCTTAGAGGAAGGAGGGAGAGAAGTGGCTAACCGAGAGGAGCGTAAGTCTTCCTCAATGGCTCTCAACTCTTTACGAAGAGTATTGAAGTTGAGGTCCTTCTGAAAAAGAAATCTAGAGGCATTCTTAAGCTCTATATCACGAAGGCCTGACCACAACCTACCCCGCAGCATCTCATCCTTAGACAACCTATCAAGATTGCATGGTATCCTGCTAAGCAACCTCTCTAGACGCAAACTATAGTCAGCAACAGACTCATCCACCTTCTGCTGTTCATTATAAAACTGTTCCTTCAACCTTTCAGTCGAATGGACATTACCATAAATGCCATCTAACTCATTCAAGATCTCAGGAACAGTGGCATTTTCACCTAAATGTAAAAGAACACCTCTGGCACTGCCTTTCAAAGATTTACGAATGGCCTCCCTGATGATAAATGGTGGATCATCAATGACACAATTAACATCATAGCGCCATATCTCGAACATTGACGAGTTGTATTTCCCATCTCCTGAAAAAGAAGGTAACTCAGGGATACGGGCATGTACCAAGTCCCGATTTGTCACAAAAGACAAGTATGGTTGAGGGTTAGGCATGGGTGGAGGAATGCTATAAACAGGTGGAGGAAAGTGAACCTGATGTGTTCTGCTGATATGTTCCCGTATAGGAGTAGGTGTAACATTAAATGTATGACTTGAGTGTACTGTATGAGGTGTACTTGCCATTGCATTAACTTGAAACTTACCAGATTTCTGTAACTGTCTAGCAAAAAATTCCAGATCTGCATCTGAATAGTCTAAGGACTGAGTTGTACCATCCGCCATGATGAGAAAACAAAAAAAAATGGATTGGACCAAAAAAAAATAAACGTTACTTAAAATTCAGGATTTCAAATGGCCCAAATTGTACACCATACACTAAAAAAAAAAAGATTAACATCAGTAACCAGCTTAGGTCTATATAGATGTAATAAAAAACAAACAATAGAAATAAAACAATTTTATTTCAAGAGAAAAACACAAAGACTTGAAAATAATCA